ATATTCTTTATTTTTATATATATTAATATAAGAATATATAGAATATAATATATATTCTATTCAGTAATTTTTCTGTGCCAGTTATTTCTACAACTCCACCAAACCTTAGAAACACTTGTATGTGTTTGGATTTTCAATTATCCCATGCTTGTTTTCACACTTGAATAGTTAAAGGGAGAGTTGTTCATCAATAATGCAGACAGAAGGAAAAAAACAGATTTCTTTGAAATATTGCCATTACTAAGAAGCAGGAATTTAGCTTGTCTTGATAAAGAAAATATCAGGAAGATATGGTTTGGAAAAAAATCAATTCTTTGCTCCTGCTGTGTTAGCAAGTTGTAATCCTTGGCGTTTTAGAAACGTGGTTTCCTACCATTATTGGTTTGGTAGGCTCAGGGCTCCTAATGTAAGGATACGTGGAAAGGCAGTTTTTAATGTGTAATGTTTTGTATTACTGTCAGGTTGTTCTCATCTACTACTTTGCCATTCTGTTAGTATAAGCCTGTAGAAGCTATTTCCAAACAAATATGGTGATAGTAAGCCTCATGTTGCACATGTGTATTTAAAAACATCCATCATGCTGCAAATGTCTTTGTTATGGACCAGATAAACTGCTTCATCTTACACGGAAGTGCTGTGAAATCTAACTTACTGTTGTCTGTAATAGCTCTTACGTATTACAATATATAATAACTATCATGGTTTTTTCCGCATACTGTCTTTTTCCTCCAGAGTGTGGAATTCGGTAATTCATAGGCTCTTCAGTTTATCTAATGAGCTAAATATGTTGCTGGGGCCTGTTTAGAGAAGGGGGAAAAAAGTTGCATTTTTCTTCTTCACTGTGCATCAACTAACAGCAAAGTTTCTAGGTGGTACCTTTATATGAATTCTACCTGTATTATGTATATGCAGCTACTAAAAACCATCAAGTATAGCTGTCATGAAAGTGCAAGTCTCTTGAGTAGTTTTTTATGCTCTATCAGTTCATGGCACAACTTGCTCACACTCTCCATGTCATCTCCTGTAATGAATCGAGAGAATAAAAACAAATACAAGAGACCTGTGAAGGTTACTCAGCCTCGGTTATCTTCCCATGCTTTCCACTGTCCTTTTTTGCCCTTTGCTTCTGAAACATGTAAATTTAAAAGTGTAATTCTGACCCTCTACACTATCTTATATTAGGTTTTCAAGATGTTAAGAACTTTGCACTTTTCTTCTCAGAGCAATTCTTCATTAATGTAGTAATTGTTTTTACCCATGTTAAAAATCTGTGAAATACATGTGAACTGTGATATGTGTTCTTTAAAACACAAAACACCACCGAGCAAATTAACACTTTGCTTCCATCAGTCAAGGTTTTAACTATAATTTTGTCCTTTTTTCTTTCATACTTCCCTTTCCTCTGTGCTGTACTTTTTTTTAAAAGTGGATTCTGTTTGCATGCGTGCTTATGAAAAGTAGTTGTGCTCAGAGATGAGATGTGTTTAGTAATGAAACAGTTTTGAATGAGAATAATTTATAAGGTTTGCTTCATGCAGAAATGTAAAATCTAGTATGCATGTGACTGCTGCACATTTACAGTAAACTGTAAATGCTAAAGGAGGACTTATATTTCAGTATATTTGGTGCAGCTGTCCCTTTCAAAATTAATCTTGTGCTTTGAAAAATGCTTTTTGCAAAGAAGTAATTTTTATTTTCCTTACTACGTGTTGAGACTGGAGGAGAAATCTGTGCCTCAAATATTTATCGACATCACAAGTTAACTGCTGAACAGGCAAACGTTTCCAGTGTAGCTTTGCAACTGTTTGGCTTGTGACAGAAGCTTTCTTGCTTTTCCTCTTGTCCCTGAACCCCACAGTGTCCTTGTTCTATAATACTTGTTTTGCTTACAATGAAGTTGGATCTAAATCTTGGTTTCAGATTTTGGAGTTGCTTTAGTATCACACTCATAACACAACTCTAAGAAAGCTTTGTCCAACCATAATTCTTGTTTCTTTTGGCTCTCTAATACATGACCGCACAAACATGTCTCTTTAAGGGTAAATCATTTCACAATCTCAACACCTTTTTCAATTGCATTAGGATTCTTTAATCCTATTACACATCAACAAGTTGGGAAAGGGCGTTACTTTTTTTTTACATTTTTCTCTAAATACAGTTTTAAAAAATACTAACATTAATGTATGCTTTCCAGCTCAGTTGCGAAGATTACAAGAAGATATTGAGAATCTTCGGGAGGAAAAAGAGAATGAAATTTCAAGCACTCGAAATGAACTAGTCAGTGCTCAAAATGAGATTCTGTCACTTCAACAAGTAGCAGAAAAGGCAGCATCAGAACGAGATACGGATATTTCCGCACTGCAAGATGAGCTGCAAACAGTGCGAGTGGAACTTGAACGGTGGCGGAAAGATGCCTCAGATTATGAAAAAGAAATTGTCAGTCTGCAAGCCAGTTTTCAGCTCAGGTGTCAGCAGTGTGAGGACCAGCAGAAGGAAGAGGCTACTCGCTTAAAAGGTACTTGTTTAAAAGGTTTTTTTAAAAGCAGTGCTAACAGTAGCATCCTTCTCAATCTGATGAATGGCAGTTACTCAAGTCACTATTTGTCTGCCTCTTTGTAGTCATTTACTACATCTATATATATACACATATGTGTGTATTATATGTGTATGTATCAAGGCTTGTAGTTTTACAAAGCCATTTTGTATACTTCATTAAATAGTAATTGTCAATTATGTCTAAATTAGCTTAGGTATCCTTTGATATCAAAAGTAGACCAAGTATCATTCCACTTAAAGATGGAAAACTTGTACTGTTTGATGGATTGATACTGCCACAGATTTCCAAAAGGGCTTGTGTAACTTCTGTGTAATTTAAGCCTGTAAATGGGTAGCTTCTGACCTTTTAATTTTTCTAGCAAATCTTCACTCGAGACAAATAACTGTATTTTATGGCTTAATAAAACTGTTGATACTATCTCGTTTTTAACATAAAAATGTTAAAATAAATTTAAAATTAAAGCTTTATTCTGGATGCATGATGTAGACATATACAAATATGTTGTGCTGAGCCAGAACAGGGCTTCTTTTAGACTCATTAATTTGTGTTTCACAACCTGTAATGCACCCACATCTCATGAGGACTGGTTGAGAGCCACTACTCCAAGCCTATAGCTTCAGGTCTTGGGAGAATCTGCTAATAGAGTTCAAAAGCTCATGTTGAAACTTGTGTACATGCCACAGAGAAACTGGCATTTGTAAAATATGCTTTAAATTCTGAATCAGTTAATCTTTGAAGTTGTCAGAGAATCCTTTTTCCCATTCAAACTCCAGTCTCTGTCATTGTATGACTAAGAAGTGTGTTACATTGATTTTCACCTATTTTACCAGGGACTGGTTTATTTCAAAGGTCTCATTTTTACCCTTTAGTTGTTGCTTTAAACATTCTGTTCCTTGTAGCAGAGGCATGGTATCTAGTGATTCTAGTTGTTTAGTGTTTTCAAGTCTGGGAAATTATTTTCTTCAAATATACTTTTCTGTCACCGTTTCTAAAATACTAGAGTAGACCCATAAACAGACTGCTTCCTAGTCCTGTGTGCCTTAGAAAAAGCTCACAAAAAAAGCACTAGCTTGTTTAATGGCTCACAAACCTCATAACAGTAGAAGATACTAGAATGTTTTATAGATGCTTGTGAGAGAATTCATGTGACATGATTATTATCAAGTATATTTGAGATTTACGACTGATATCAGCTTTTCCTCCATTTATTAGTTGGTGATACTTGAAGCAGTCATGAAAATAATTTTACTCAATTCAATTCAATTTAATTTATTGCAGGTGAACTTGAAAAGTTGAAGGCAGAGTGGAGTGCTCTGGAAGCTGAATGTGTTACACTAAGGAAGGAAAATACTTTGCTTGCATCTGAACTTCAGCGACAAGAGAAGGAGCTTACGAGGTAAGGGCACAATGGACTAGTCTGGTGTTTCAGTAAATGTATTGAAATTTTATTTATATCATAGTATTGGGAAGAACACATTTTCATGCCAAATTGTTATACCAAGCTATTTTTTTCTATTTTGCAAATGCTTCTGTATTACTTATCAGTCATGTTGCACCATCATAAGGTAACCTGACTTGTTTTGCTGCTTTTAATAAGGACTTGGAAGCAAGTATTGTAGAAGTATTTAGACTTAACAGTTATCCTACTACTTAAAAGATAGTAAGCCACATAGATTTCCTAACCTAACATTTTCTCAGCATTCAGGCTTGGAAAATGGTTCTCAGATAGGCTTCCATGAGACACAACACTGTCACATTATAAATAGTAATGATGGGCAGAAACAGTATTCTGTATCATGTTTTGGGTAACAGAAAAATACAAGTCTCTTTATCACAAGCTCCATAATATCTTTTGGGAGGGATTTTTAGAGTGCAGAGGTGTTTGTGTTTTACTGTATTTCTTTTGTGATTCGAACATGTGGCATCACTGAAGGCTATCTAAATCTTCTGCCTGGAAGTAACTTCCCCTGTTAACCCTTCATCTGCTGTTATTACATAGTTTTTCGGTTTCAGATACTGGAATTTAATTCACTACATAAATAGGGGACAGCGATGAGCAAATACAGGATTTTCATAATGGAGATATGCAAGATCTCTGTCTTATTTTTCTTTGTCTTGCACAGTCACCAATTAACACTACTTGGTTATTACACTAAAGTTTGTAATGGCTTAATTTAGAGCTTTCTATGACTGTTACACAATTGTACTAAACACTTGAAGAATACACTAGCTATTAGCTTGTGCAACTGGAGTAAGCAAAGAAGCATGTGAGCAAATAAAATGAAACACTTCTAAGAACCTTGAACAGTCTTGTCATTACATATTTGTTTCAAAATACTTTGGAGTATGTAATAAATACTTAGTGAATAATAAGTAAAATAAGAAACTACAAATTATGGGTGATAAATTATTTAAGTTATAGATTATAATTAATTATACGCATTAAGCTGTGCACACATATTTACAAGCAAGACTATGGCCAGCCTTTTGTGTCAGTACTTTGTATAGGGAGACAATGATGATCTGCACTTCTGCAATTGCTTTAAGCTGATATTTCTGTATTAAATAAAAATAATGTGTGAAGCTTTGGAGGATGAAAAATGCTTTAAAAAAATCTTGTTTGTTTAAATTTAAAACACATGGGGATCAATTGGATTTTGTTTTTCAGCTCTCAGAAACAGAGTTTAGCGCTAACCAGCGATATAAGTGTTCTTGAAATGTCTCGAAAGGAACTTGAAAATCAGATGGGATCTTTGAGAGAAGAACATCAACGGGATGCAGCTAGTCTAAAAAGCCAACTCAGTGAAGCTGAGAGTCAAGCAAAAGATGTTCAGAAAGAGGTAATACAAAACATTATTTCTGTTTTGAGAGAATATAATGCCTGATGACTTCTAAGCTAAAAGAAAAGGAAAAGTATAAGATTTCTAGTAACAAACACTTTTCACACTTCTATTGCAAGTGCTTTTATGGTAGCTAACAATAAGTAAACTGAGGGTTAAATCTAAAAAGGAAGATTTCAGATGAAATGACTTGTGTGTGTGTTTTGGGAACTTCCTAAAGTTTACTCTTGTGTATTACCTTAGTGAATTTACTTGTAAGCTGTTCAGAGAGGTAAACCCTTAATCAGAGTCTTTCTGAACATCGTGTTACAGAGTTTCATTAGCTGTTATGAGTCAAAATTAAATCTTTTTAGTCAGTATGATCTTCCTAGTTAGATTTAAACTCTTTCTATTTGACAATGGCACTACACATTCTTTACAAAGGACTCCTTTCATCTTACTGGATCACTAAGCTGCTGAAGATGATTGGCAGGTACATAAGGAAAAGCTGGCGTTTTAAGCATATATTTCATCTGCATAGCCTCTAAAGATTATGTCTAGAAGAAGAACATACATTTGAGTCTTTTGCCCAGTCACTGCTTTTAGTTTCCTTTGCAGTCCTGTCCTTTGCTTTGTCATTAATTCTTCCGTGTCACATTGCTTACCATTTTCATAATTTGAAAAACCCAGTCTTGTTAGTTTGTGTTTTTGTCATCAGATGTATTTGTAAAGATGCCTAATCTTGTAAACTTGTGTCAAATGCCAGTACTGAAAGTCATCAGTTCTGTCCTTACTAATCCCTGTCACGAGGACTACTAGAAAGCTTGCAATCTATAGAAATAAATTGAATGTGAATTTGAAAAAGTAGAAGCTGCCCATACTGCAGGAACATGAGACACATTCTCCCAGTGTCATTCGTACTTGACCCACACTGAGGACTATGGTATGATAGTAATAAGGCATAATATTTTTCAATGCCTTTCTTACTCTTCTGTTTGAGTTTTCTGCATGGGAAGAGGGTTCGGTTTACTTCATACAGAATGTTGATTTTTGCACCTATTTGGTGTAGGTATTTAAGGTACAGCCTAGATGTAAGACCAGCATTTAAATGTAAAGGACTCCTTGTTCCCCTGTTTCTTCTTTTGTCCTCGTAGTTTTAACAGTCCTTTCCAATATGATAATGAGTAATTGTTTGGTATAGAGATGGCCTGCATTTACTTCCTATTTCCTGGTTTTTAGTAATCCTAGCCCTTCAAAGTCAGGGACAACAATCTTCATTTACGAAAAAAGAAAATCTAAACCAAGACTTTTCTACCCTGCTTTTATGAAAAGAGAGTGTACTGGTCCAAGGCGAGTTACTCTAGGCATGTGACAGGAAATGAAGCTGTGCACTAAGCAAGTGTAAGCATGTGTTGGGTGTTCAGGGGTCCACAGACTGTTTTCTTTTTGTCTTTAGTTTGAAAGAACACAGACTGTGCTCTCAGAGCTGAAAGCAAAGTATGAGATGGCCGAACAAGAAAACCAGTCACTCACAGAAGAGCTCAAACAATGTAAAGAAAACCTGAAGCTGCTACAAGAAAAAGGAAACAACGTAAGTCTGTACAGAATATGTGGGGATGCTGGGTTACAACACTGGCAGTTCTGTTGATTGAGGGAATATGTAAGTGTCAAATACAATAGGATGGACTTAAAAAAAAAAAAAATGCAAAATTCCATTCTGGTACTACCTGTGCAAATTTGCAGGTCTTTACACTGTTACAATTACACACGCAAGTTAAATTTACATTTGTGGGACAGTTTTAAATAAGGCCTTAGATACCTGCTCTCTTGAAAACATCTGGATTAAATACTAGTGAACCAGAACTAAGTAAAACTTTTTAATTTGAGAATGATACATGGGTAAAAGCTGAGAAACCTGTATCCAAATGAATTAAGCAATCTTTTTCAAGATGCTATTATTTTATTAGTTTTTATTACAATGGATGTTCCCTCCTTACTCTTGCTTATGCTCCTTAACAGTGGTTATCCCTGATCAGCTCATGCTTTAAACAGTGCAGTTGAACTGTCCTTTCTATTCGCTAATTAAAATATTCTTTTCTGTTGCAATTAATTTGAAAGTTTGTATCATTAGCATTGAGTTTACAGCTAGGGACAACTCTTTTTATACTGAGACTTCTGAAATTCTCCGTTAAGGCTGTGGCAGACACATTACAAGGTGGTCATTACCTTATTTTAGACCCTTATTACCCTGGGATGGCGTCTATGATCAGTGCAGGTGAACAAGTCCTGTAGTGGACAGTAAAAAACAGGGAGATAATGCATATTCTGTGATAGCCTTTTAGAAAACTGTTTCCCTGGAAGTTTTAAAGATCCAGTCCTCTAAAATCAGATGGCTACTAGATGCCCAAAGTTTGTATGAATATTCTTGCCATAACCAGTTACTGAATGTAAACCGCTAACATAGCAGAGCTCTCAAAGATGTAAAGGATTCAAAGCCCTTCTCACTTTTTTCAGCCATATTTTCAGGAATATGATGTTATAATTCTTGTGGAACCTGCTTCCTGCTTAGAATTCTTCTGCAATGCTTAGATAATATTGAGTTACTAAAGTAGGTAGAAGTCAAAAACAAACCACCAAAAAAAAATCCCCATTTTAATAGAAAAGGTCACAGTGAGTAAATAATTCTGCATGTGAAATCTTTCTGGTCTGTTAAAAACATTAACCTCAGGATTAAAATGATCAGTGGAAAAAGGGGGATAGTAGATGGAAGAAATACTGTGAAGGGAATTGAAGCACCTGATGAAATTGGAAGAGCTTGCAAGGTAAGGGAAATTTTAGGAAGAATTTGATGTTTAAATGAAATCAGGAACCATAGCAGTTGCCAAAGTCTGCTTCCAGAGGAGGCATTAGTTATGACAGTTGAAACCTGGAGATCAGGGTATGATGAAGAGCATATAAGGACTTGCAGGACAAGCTTGCTGTTCAGGAAAGCAAGTTAGTCACAAGCAGTAACGTAAAACATATCTTGTGGTTTATTTGAAGCATCATGGATACGGGGCTGAGTTCCAAGGTCAAATTTTTCGAGTACCATTGTCCCCTTATGCTGGAATCATTATCTGCTACTTCATTTCCGAGGACAGTGTCCCACAGAAAGTGACTTCCCACTGCAGGGTTTGTTCCTTTTTGTGGCCCATCTGTATCTGAGTTTGCGTATCTTCATATTCTAATACAAGATGCACATTTTTGATGCAGCATCTAGTTAAATGCTCCTTGAAAATAAGGAGATTTGTTATATGCTGATAAGTTCATGAGGGGGAAAACTTAATCATTTTGAGGCAATTTCATTTAATGTGGTGGATATTTATTATCTGTTTCTTTGCTAGGATGCCACAGCCATGAATGTGTATAACTTAAAAACAACCAAACAACAAACAAACAAACAAAACCCTCCCCCCCAAGAAGACACACACAAAACCAAAACCACAAAACCCCAGAATAGAGAATTGTTCAGCCAACTAACAAGTGTTAGAAAAGACAACACTTCTGTACTCCACTTGGAATATCGTTTAAATATTAAGTTTTTATACTTAAATTTTACTTTAAAAAAACAAAAAAATGTTGTATTCTGAAATGCTTAGCAGTGTGGTGTACTACCTGTACTTGCATGCTTGTAGTCACTGATTATTTCCTGATGCGTTTTATAAGACAGATTTGTTTATGTGAATGGTTTGAGAACATTAGCTGCTCGGTTGACTTAAACTTCTGGCACTTTTTTGAACACTGCTGTGATTATTTCTACCAACATGCTTCCTGTGGGAAGGTGGCACTCTGATTTGTGGCACCAATGACACAAAAATAATCCTGCATGAAAATGACTTTAATAAGTACACATAGTTTGTCTATTAAATATTTGCCTTGATTAAAACAAATTTGAATTGAATGGCAGAGACTAGAATACCTTCTAAGGTTCCTGCGTTTCGAACCGTATTGGAGGTTCTATGATTAAGTGACTTCTACAAATTCATAACAGGATGAAATTTTATTTATGAATCACGATGTTTTATAAAGTCTTAAAGCATTTATTATTTATTTATTTATTTGACTGAATGAAATCAAGGCGGCTTCAGCACGAAAAAGTTCTTAAGAAAATACTTAGCATGGTTTGAATTTAACCTCTGTGTGTCTGTGTGTGTGCACGAATATATAGGCTAGGATACAGAGAAAAGACATGTCTTCCAAGGACAGCTTAAAAAGAAATTAGGTCCATTTTTGCTTTTAATTTATCACTTTAAGGATAGAGGCTGCCCATCCAGAATGTGCAGTAAAGTAGCTTACAGGCAACTGAAGGTAGCTGAGAAAATGCATAGATAGTTCTCGTGAGGCCGTAAGCTAAACGAACCCTGCAGTCTTGCTAGCTGGTAGTTTGGCCCAGCTGCAACATTTGATGGATTTTTTTCAGAATTGCATTTGGTCACGAGGCTGATGACCTGCCCTGCCAGAGATGCTGATCTTTGTGGTATCTCCGACAGAATTGTACTTCCCTGCTTTATAGTAACTTAGTGTTGATTGTACAGTCATGGTACAATCTCACAGAAGTATCTGAACTACTGGGTTTGCCTGTGGATATAGTTGTCATTGATTCACTAATGGCGGAAAAAGATTGTTTTTCTTGGAGGCTGGTGATGGAAAATGGGAAAGGCTAACTTGCAAGGAATGAAGAAGTAGCTGAAAAATTCAGTATCTGATGAGAGTCTGTCTGCTTTAAGAAATCCAGATGGGATTTCCTATCACTTAAGAGAAATGCAAACCGACTATACAAAAGATACAGGCAAATCAGCTTAAGATTTGTATTGTTTTTAAGGACTAAATTCCAAGTTGTGACAAGAGGTTTCTTGGAACATTTTCTGCTTACTTCCCTTTATTTTTAAACATCCCTGTTCATTTGAGTAGAGCGGTGTACTAACTTTGTATACCAGGTTAGGTAATGCTGTATTGTGTTAGATGTCTTTAATACGTTTCAATTAAAACTCACTGACTTATTTTCCCCTCTCTAAATCATCTTCACCCAATTGATTTATAGCACAATGTGATTTTTAATATCCCTTCCCTTCTTTAGCCTTCCATATTACAACCCGTCCCAGCCGTATTCATCGGCCTAATCCTGGCTTTCCTGTATTGGTGTTACGGCCCATTGTGGTAGCGAAAGGTACAAGCACTACTGTTCAGTCAATGTATGTTTGTCCCTCTCACCTGTGTGTGCCATTTCTGTATAAAATAGTGCATGGTGAAATGCTCACAGGTATTTATTTACCTGAAGCAAACCCTTCATTTACTATGCCGTTCTCTTGATACTGACGAGCTGAGCAATCAACTAATCATTTAACATCTGTGGGGGTCCTTTAATTCTAACAATGAATTTCCTTCTAACTGGTTCTGAATGTGCCTCTTCTAACTTGGTCTCAGTTTGTCTTTAGCACATGGGCTACCTTTTGCACAGTGCTGCGATGCTAGGGCCTGTAAGAAAACTTAATTGCTTAATTAACTATGAAAAATGAAGAGTTTGCCTCTAAATAATAAAAATCAACAATAGCTTTGGTTCCTATTTATGGACTGAGAAATTCCTCTCTGACTCTAAACACTTTAATTTTTCTCACTATTGCTATGAAGAAGATGAAAAAAAAGACAGGATGATAACTAGGTGGTTGGTTTGTATTCTGAACTCTCAGCTTGCATTTTCTCTAACGTCTCTCCGTGTGTCCTCTTAAAATGCTGTTGTTGTCATGAAATGTTGCGACAATCTGTTTGAAATGATGTTGTTAGGATCTGCTACAAACTAAGTTCATAGAACTGGATTTAAACATTCAAAAACTAAGTTAAAGATGTCAGTACTGCATAAACTTGTGTCTAGCGATTACTTGGAACGAGTGATGTTTTAAACATCGTAAGCCCTCACATGTTTAATAGCAGATTTCTCTGAGGTGCATACAGCAATGAAGCTGGAAATACAGAACTGCCAAAAGTTCTCCTGATGATCCTCAGTCACGAAGAGTTGTGGAGTTCCCTTTGCCAGAGAAACACAGTTTACAGTGATGCTCTTAAGTCAGGACTAGCCTGCAGTAGGGCTCATGGGTGACATTCTAGTGATGCCTATCAACAGGTACTCAGGACTTTCAGGAACCACGGGGTAAACTGATTAGTATGAATTAGAACAAATATGATATTGATTTTTTTTTTCTCTCCACACAGAGACAATGGCCTTGGATGCCTGTGATGGCAGCTTTGGTTGCTGTAACAGCCGTGGTGCTGTACCCAGGCCTAACCAGAGCTTCTCCATGAGAACTGTTGTTGAATCCATACACCGTCCTCCCTTTAGAAGCTGGCAACATTCATATACTGAGGGAAAACAGATTAATTCTCTTCCTTTTTACCTCTTAATACAGCACAGCTCTGCGTGAGAACAGCAGTAGGGTCATTTGCTTTAAAATGTATAAAATGTATCTGTCTATAAAGAGGGAATAAAATTGTGATTCATCATACTGTGAGCAATATTTTTGCTTACAATTTCATGCAAGTTTTAAATTAGTGTGTTGGGATTCTGAATACTATAATGGTGGCCTAAAGTAGGCTTCTTGGTACCAAATTATTTGTAATGGCCAGGGTTGTGGACACTTACTTTAGAATCTGATTGCCAGATTTAAAAGAAAAAAACATATTTGTGATTTGGACACCCAAGCCAAGTAACCTTGCAGATACTTGGAAAACAGATGCAGTGTGCTCAGTGCCTTTCAGTATGATTTTTTTTTTTCTTTTTTTTTTAAAACTACTATACCATTTTACTTGCTGTTAGTCACTGAGCTGTTGGGAGCAAGACTTAAGAAAACTTACCTTACCACGCCTTTTGAAGGAAGAATATTTTTCTTTGATAAGGATTGCTTTATTAATGATTTTTGGGAATAAAGACAGTTCATATCCAGCCTTAAAGAGACAGAGATATTGATGGTGAAGACCAGCCTAGAGTATTTAGCGTGCACGTGTGTGAGTGTAAGCATGTGTGTGTTCTTGAGTGAACTAAGGTATTTCTGGGAGCAAGTACTTGGTCATCTGATGGACGTAGTGCAGTGATTCAACTTACGTTAACTTTAGTTTGAATGTAATTTATTAAATTTCACATATTTAAAGAGATGCGTTCTTTAAAAGTATGAATACTTTCTCACATATCACATATATCAATTTATTTTTTCAGTCATTTGATACTTTCTGACTTGAGCTGGAGAAGCTCTTTAGATAAGCTTTTGTTGACGTAACTTTATTAAGAGAACTGCTACAGTACATCTGTGATTAGCTGAAAAAAAATCTAAGATACATAAAATACTACGGAGTTGGAATCATATACCTGATGAGGTATTGTCAGGTGAAGATGATTTTAATTTGGTAGTAAAATTTTGTGCATCCTCATCACATGGCTGTAAGTATGATGCAGTGGTCCCCATTACAAAGTTTATTTTCCTTATCTGAGTACTATAACTATTGCTCTTTGCTGACTTTTGGTGGGAATCACTGTGGTTAGTGCTGAATTAAATGTAGACTGTAGTTGTCTTGTTCAGCTCAACAGTTCTGTCAAAAAAGTTTATTAAAGACTTAAATAATATGCTAAAGAATGGTAAAGCAAAATGGCTCTGCTAAAGGAAACTTCAAAATAGGGGGGTAATCTGAGCAATTCAATTGGCTTTAAAGAATGTTATGGCAATCGACAGATAGTTTAAATACTTAAATAGAAATTTAGCATATAATTTACTTTGTGAGGTTTTAAGGGTCATTGTCCTTTAATTAAAGGTTCTATCTTAAATTACATGGGATTTGCTAATGGGAGGATTATTAGTTGGAAAAAATAGTCCACAAGTGACTTGTAGAAAATAAATATTGTCATTTAGTTCATTCATTTCATCCTCTTCAGTTGCAGGAAGCCACCCAACCACAGAACACTCGTATGCCAGTGGTACTTAGTACCTCTTGTATATAGGTTATTGCAAATATTGTTCTGAAATGCTTAACTTCAGAATTACATTTTTTAAAGTAAATAATTGTTTTAAATCTATTTTGTAAAGATATAAAAATACAATAGAATTTCTGGAGTACAGATTAAAACTATTTGCACTAACACACGTGATGTGCATGATTTAATAAAATAACTTTACTCTCCCTGTGCATGTTTGAGTTGAATGTCATTTGAAAACAAAAGATTCATGCTAAGTTTCTTTTGCGCTAGATACTGCCACAGTTACTAGGCACAGTGTCTGCAGCATGTCCAGTAATAGCAAAAGACTTTTTTTACCTTGTATTTCACATTTGCACTGGTTTAAGTTTTTGCCTAGCTGATCTCTCTCCTGTCTGTGGTTTTCAGAAAGCAAGGCGGGGAGGAGAGCGCCGTGGAAGGCTTGGGAGCACATTGCCACGGGGGAAAAAGAGTGTTCCCAGCTGAAGGGTGGATGGTGCCTGTGGCAG